AGTCTATTGAATAGATTAGCGTTGTCAAAACCCCGGTTACATCCATAACTCTTTTCCATAAGAATCGCCAGGCAACTCTCACGGCGCTAACCCAATCCTACTCGCCCTAACCCGGATCGAGCCAGAGAAGTATTAGCACTCCAAACCCCGTGTAACACGTATAGGCGTTAATAACGATATAATTTTTATATTTTAAAGTATAGAAGTAGGCTAAAAAAGGCTAAGAAGCTATTAATAGAAGATTGTAGATTATTCACACGCGCTTGGAAGATTATGATTCCTTAATCTCAAAGTACCTGGTATTCGTCTCGCGACGGGGTGCGTCTCGTGACTTAGGGATGGACGTTACTTAATCTCTTTCTGGTTCATGCACTATTACGTCAAGTATGCATCACACGATTGGCCTCACTATTCTGGGTAGCAATTCAAAATACCCCCTGTAGGATTCGCGGAACGCTGCATGCACACGAGACGTGCCACTGCCCCAAGCACCGCCATCGCACTAGACCTGATTTGGAAAACATGCTGGCCAAGACATAAGGCCCAGCAGTAGCGTCGGGGTTAATAAAATGCAGTAATATTACTGGATCGAGAAGAGAATCTACAGGAGACCGACACAGTCTTGCAGAGGTGAACATAGTGGCTTGCTTGTTGCAATACGCTTGCTATTATGGTGTATGGTTGGAGCTAAAATGCAGCTTATTTCATCACTGGACGGCCATGCAGTTCGTTTTCTTGGAAAGGGCAGTCATGTATAAGAACACAAAGTAATCCCTTGTGGTGTTCTATTATCTACCATCATACCTTCTTTCGCACTTTTCAAAGACCAAGTACATGATGAAAGCGTACACACAGTATGCAGCAGCAATTGCTACCATTTTGCCCTCGGGCCTCAGCTCCCCTTTGAATGCAAGAGGGAACACCAGCATGGTTTATAATTTCTCCGAAGTAGGCCTCATCTACTAGTATCAAAAATGAATGGAGACTAACACATATACAGTTGACCGCGAGCCCATCACTTGCTTGGTCCCCATGTTATAGCAACTTGTATGAGCATCCCGATCTTTCTAGAAGAACAAAGACCAACTAACCTTGCCAGTACCTGTGCCTTGCTAGAAGTCCCACGCGACTACGCCAACAAAACCGCCGGCACCCTCAACATCGCCATCATCAAGAAACCCGGCCCAGCCCCCAACGCGCAAGAAGTCCTCGTCAACCCCGGCGGCCCCGGCGGCTCATCCGTCAGCATGATCCTCTCCAGCTCCGCCTTAATCGAAGCCAAAATCGGAACCGACTACTCGCTTGTCGGCATCGACCCCCGCGGCATAAACAACAGCGAACCCTCGAGCGACTGTTTCCCCGGCTACTCCTTCCAAACCCGCAACGCCATCCTCTCCGAACCCCTAGGCCTTGCAGACATAACCTCTGAAAAAGCACTAAAAACCCATTACCAATCCCTCCTCGGCTACGGAAAATGGTGTTCAGACATGTACTCTGTAAACGGCACCGCACGCTACGCCAGCACTGTCGCCACAGCACAAGACATGCTACACTACATCCAGCTCCGCGCCGCCGACACGGGAAAAGCGCCAGAGGAAGCAAAGCTATGGTACTACGGTATAAGCTACGGCTCCATCCTCGGACCCACCTTCGCCAGTCTCTACCCTTCGCACGTGGGCCGCATGCTCATAGACGGCGTGCTCGATCTCGCCGATTACTACGACGGCGGCTGGGAAACCGCCACAGACGATAGCGACAAAGCCGCGCGCTACTTCTTCCAGCAATGTTTCGACGCGGGTCCCGCGCTCTGCTTGTTCCATCAAAACGCTTCGTCGCCACAGGTGATTCAAGATCGCTATGAAGCGCTGCTTGAAGAGCTAAAGCAACACCCTTTTTCGGTGGCGCAGGCAATTCCGGATCCGAAGAATCTGCTCACGGTGCCCGGAGCGCTGCCGCCGACGCCGTATGTGTTGCAGTGGACGGATATCTCGAGTCAGGTTTTCGCTACGCTGTACTATCTTAACCCGGTGCTTGTGGTGCTGATGGATTACTTGCTTCTCGCCTTGCAAAATCGGGACGTGTCGATTCTATCTAGTATCACGCTCAAAGCCCAGATTAACAGTTTTAGCCCCAGCTACGATGAGCGCATGGGGCGGACGCTAGTGGTATGTCTAGACTCGGATGGAAGGTCGAATTATACGGCGTTTGAAGATTACAAGGGATTTGTGGAGGGGATGCATAAGAAGAGTAAATATGGGGGACTGCATGTTGCCGCACTGAGTGGACCCGTGTGCAGTCAGATGCAGGTGAGGGCGCCTGAGAGCCAGCGGTTTGATGGAGTACCGAGAGTGAATGGGACAGATACGCCTATTTTGTTTGTGTCGTCGGTTGCGGATCCTGTAACGCCTTTGTCGGCGGCGAGGAAGATGAATAGCCAGTTTCCTGGGTCGGGGCTGCTGGTGTTTGATAATGTTGGTGTAAGTACTTCCTTCACTCGAGAGTTGGCTTCTTGGGGATACTGACGGACTGGTCTGAACAGCATACTGCACACTTCCAGTCGATTAAGTGTGTCTCTGAACACGAAAAGCGATATATGCGCGATGGAACCCTTCCGCCTGCGAATACGGTATGCGAGGTTGAGGAGCCCAATCCATGGATCGCGCTTGCAAAGCTATCCAATGTCACTGGAGCTACACCGTTATGAACTTAGTATCATGGCAATGATGGGAGTCCTCCTATCATTCCTACATTCAATGAGCGGGATTTATATAGAATTGTGTACAGGGATAATACATGACTATGTTCTTGGACACATGGCTCGACATCACCCTTCTTATCCTTCGGCATCAATCGATTTCATGTGCTCACATATTCCAGAACCAACACCGTGTTTACCTCAAGGGTATGGACTATTTATTCAACCCAGACGGCCCTTGCCGCCTCCATACTTTCCTTCTGGTCCCTCGAGATGAGCATCCAACACGGCCGAAGTACCGTTCAACACGGACTTGATAGCCTCCGGGAGAAGTTTGCCCAACTCGTCAGCTGTACTCGCGTGCGCAGCCCATATTTCGCCGCCGCTCGCCGCCTTGGCGATACCAGAGTAATCCGGTGTGGGCGCAAAGCTGATGTTGAGCTCTTCATTGCTGACCTTGGAGCCTTCACCGTTAGGATGGACGAGCAGCATGGACTTGCGCGGGGCGTTCCAGCCCTTGTTGTTGAGCACAATGGTGAGAACAGGAATCTTGTAGCGCTGGGAGATCCAGTAGACGGAACCAGGCACAGAGAAGAGATATGTGCCGTCGCCGACAATTTGGCATACAAATTGTTTCTTGCCTTCATAGTCGGTCGCGAGCTTGATACCCAGGGCACCACCGCCAGACCATCCAAGACCTCCACCGCCACAGTTTATCCATGATCCGGGCAACATCGCTTGTATCTGGTCCGCGACAAAGCCGGTTTGAGTGACGGCCTCGATGGCCCAAATGGTGTCTTGTGGGCATTGCTTCTTCAGCTGGGAGCAAAGATAAGGTGTGCCATAGTGGCCCTTGTCATCAACCTTGGCTTCGCTTGCGATGCCTTGGAGTTTCTTCTTGTATGACTCTTGCAGAGCCGACCATCGCTGATCGAAGAGCTGACTGGTGAGTTGTTCTTTAAAAGCAGACTCTAGGTGCTCGTTTAGCTGGTTTAGCGATGTATACGAATCGGCTTGGTAGCGTTGAATGGCGTTGAGATAAAAGACAGGCATCTGCTGCTTGAGCGGATCAACGTCTATATGGAAGATTTTCGCGTCTTCTTTGGGATGGCACTGAGTGTTGATCCATGGTACATCGCAGTCGAGAACGAGAATGACATCGGCTGTTTTGATGGCCGGATCGTTGCCGTAGCGCAGGCCCAGCCATGCCGGGTGGTTTGCGGGGAAACACATGTCACTGCCTCCTGTATCCAACACACGGATGCCTTTGACGTTGTCTGCAAGCCGAACGAGCTCCTTTACTGCTTCGTGGTTTCTGCCAGAGTAGCCAGTTACGATAAGAGGTTCCTGGGCCTTGACCAGAGCTTCGGCGATTGCCTTGACGCCTTTGGGGGGAAGTGCAGACGGCTCGACGGGTGCCCAGTAGTCCTTTTTTAGCGTGTATGGGGTCAGATCCTCCTCCATGGGCTCTCGCGCGCCGTAGAGATATACCGGACCTTTTGGATCGCTCATGGCGAAGGACAAGGCGCGGTTAACCATTTGCTGTGCAGTTGTTAGCATTTTCTCGTCATATGTCGCCGTCTAGCACACCTTGACATTCTTGCCAGATTTGATTTCGCCCGTATATCTGCAGTATTGCTCGACAATCTTTTTCTGGTCTGGCACATCCTGTATCCAGTGAATGTACTCTGTCCTGCTACCGCGCATCTCACCCTCGATGGTAAATGGGGACAGGCCGGCGAAGATGAGAACAGGCGCGCGTCCACATGAGGCGTTATGCACAGCAGCTCCAAGACCTTGTGTTCCAACATCGACATGTACAATGACACATTGGGGCTTGCCCGTCAACCTAGCATATCCGTCGGCCATGGACAGAGCGACCATCTAACCATTTTAGCCATTGTGTAACCTTGGCTGCATATGGGCTACTTACCTCATTTGGACACGTGATAATTTTGGGGAATTGGCCCTTGGCCTCATTCTGGCCTTTGACAATGGCCTCGATAATCGAAGGATGGTCGGATCCGAGGTTGACAAAGACATGGCTGACGCCATACTCCCAAAGGGCTTCAAAAAATGCAAAAGACGCAGTGTATCTAGAGGAGATTAGAAAGAGTTTCATGCAAAATTGAGAGACTCTTTACTTACACCATGTTGTCTGATAATCTTCTGGAGAAAGTTGGAGGAGGGGGTCTTGTATCCCCGCGACGGCCATGTTAAACAACGGCGGGCTGCCCCACAGGCGCGGGGAAGCTGCGATCGCGGCAACGGTTTTCGGGTGACATCAGTCAGTCGTCGGCCCGAGGATTTTTCGTCTAAAGTTGATGCTGTTTCAACCTCTTATCTTCAACAAGGCACTGTATGTGTGAACTAGGAGGACTATCTTCACACCGGGCGCGCCGCACTTGCGCCGAGCATTACTACGTAGTAGTAGTACTACTGTCCGTGCTGCGGGGCGGCACGCTTCCGTTCTTCGGAACACCTCCCCAGATGGTCACCACGCTTACAGAACTACGACACTACGAATGCCGACCAAAGCCACGCAACACCGTCTCAGAGATTTGTAGATTTTCGCGTTTCGTAACATGGCTGAGTATGTTTCTGCGCGAGTGTCATGTTGCACAAATGTCCAAACGAAACCCGTTTCAAACCCTACCTAGGTATTTGTATGCCATCACGGTAAGCCTCTAAAAGCTCAAAACACCCATTGCTTAATTCTATTTACTCAATTTTTCAATTTCTTGCAAAAGTCACAATGTTCGTCAAATCGACCTCTGTCGCTATCTTTTTTCCATTCTCTGCGCTTGCTTATAGTGCGACATGCTCGAACCACTACGCACCCAACCATCTTCTACGTCATATCTGCAGTGGACCTCCAGACGTCTATGTAGTCGAACCCACGAACGGCAAAGGCCTGGGCGTTTTTGCCATGCGCGATCTTGACATTGGCGACATTGTTATGCGCGAATCGCCCGTCATTAGGATCAGCCGGTCCAAATTCACAAAGGGACAGGAGAATCCCATGGCTGCTGTTGCAAAACTAGTCCACGACGAATTCAAAATGCTTCCGCCTAGCGCACAGGAGCAGGTTTTAGCGCTATCTTACTATGCCAATGGTACAGTGAGCACACAGTCAGAGACACTGGGGACCATATTTCGTACAAACGCGTACAATACCGGGGACAAATTCAGCTTGTTTCCTAGAATCGCTCGAATCAACCATTCCTGTCGACCAAACACGAGCTACTACTGGAGCGAGAAGCTCAATAAGCACATTGTCTTTGCTAGCCGGAAGATCAAGGCTGGAGAAGAATTTTCGGTCTCCTACATTTCACTTCTGCTCCCTCAAGAGGACCGACAGAAGCTACTCGATCAATATGGCTTCAAATGCCAATGCGAGGCATGTGCTCAGAAACGCGCAGCCGGCGAGGCTAGCGACAACCGTCGCGTCACTATCAAAAACGCTTTTGATAGGTTTGATAGCCAGCTACTTCTCGATCCTCCAAAGACCAAGGCCGAAATCGAACATGCCCACAAGAGTGCTGAAGTGAGCGTTCAGCTCGCCCAGCTTGTACAAGCAGAGGGCCTTGCTGACTACTACGCGAGAGCTTACCGGATCGTCGCCCTCAGCTTTGCCAAATTGGAGAACTGGCAATCGGCCACGGATTGGGCGCACAAGGCGTACAAACTACGCCACATGGAGGATCCAGAGTCGCCGTATACAATGGAAATGCACGAGTTGACATCCATGTACATCTCGAAATGGCAGACTCAGCTTACGGGCCGGTCCTAAACTTGATGTATTTTTTAGTCCATCATTCTATCAACGAATAGCGTACAGGACCAATCTCACTACCGAGTGGCGAACTAAAGGCGTCCCAGACCTGCGGCTCGCACATGCGGCCCTGTTCACCCGACATGCCGCCAATTAGCCTAATCCGTCACCACGCCGCTGCACCTCCATACCCACCACGTCTCTTCATCTCAGCATATCTAATCCATTGAAAGTTTTCCTTCCCAAATCTCCAAAATTCCATTCACACACACACAATCAAGCCAACAATGGCGCAACAAAGATTAATCGATACCACCCCCCGCGTCCGCAAAAAACCCATGCGCATCCTCGTGCTAGGCATGTGCCTGTGCGGCACACCAACCATCAGCCTCGCCCTCCGCAAACTAGGTTTCACCCCCCACCAAATGCGCTCCGTGCTGTCCAACCCCTCCGACCTCGCTCTCTGGCAAGAAGCAATAAACCTCACTTTACTCCCACCCCAAGACCGACCTGCGCACCAACGCAACCAAGCCGCCTATGGGAAAGATGACTTTGACAAACTCCTCTCCGACTACGACGTCGTCGCCGACATTCCTGGCTGTCTTTTCGCCAAAGAGTTGGTAGAAGCGTATCCCGATGCCAAAGTCATCCTCACTTTACGCAACTATGCGGATTGGGAGAACAGCATGCGAGAGAGTCTCTGGTGCCTGGATACTTGGCGCTTGTTTACTTTCTGTCGCCAGTTCAACTTGACGCAACTTGCGCCGCTGATGCAGCTGGTGCATTCGGCGTTTAAGGCGCATAGTGGGAATCAGTATGGTGGGCCGGCGGCGAAAGCGGCGTATGAGAGGCATTATGAGGAAGTGAGGAGTGTGGTGCCGAAAGAGCGGCTGTTGGAGATTGATATGGATGGGGAGGTGGGATGGGAGAGCCTGTGTGGATTTCTAGGGACGGAGGTGCCGAAGGAGGGGTTTCCGGTTGTGCAGGAGGAGAAGGCCATGCGGAGGGGGTTGGAGAGTGCGTGGTGGGGTATGGTGCAGTATTTTGTGCTGTTGATTCTGTTGCCGGGGTCGGTGGTTGTTGGATCGTACTTTCTGTTCGTGTATGCGGATGTGCTGAGGGGATATAGGGATATGGTACTTTTGATGGTGAAGAAGTATATGGATACTGGGGAGTGGTAGCTTGATCATCTTTTTTTTCCAATAAATCTAATGGTATTGTCTATTTACGTGCCCGGCAAGCATTTAAAGCTAAGCCTTCCATCGGAGGAGAGTAAACGAATGCTTTCCAAATGTGAACTTGCCCTTTCCATCCCAACTGCTCTCCTTGATCCCAACTTTCTGCTCCCCATTGGTATTCACAATACCAACGTTCTCCCCGGTAACTGTGTGTACCTCGACTTTGTCAGCCTTCAGCCCAGGGATCTCAACCTCGAAATCCCGTGTCTCGTGTATATTCGTAACAGCAAGGTTAATGAACCCGTCATCACTGAGTACAGCACTGCAGTCCAAATACGGCGTCTCGATTGTACCACGGATCCACTTGGGATTTGTGCGGCCATTGTACTCGGGCGTACGCACATTGAGCGCAATAGTGTGACCACGCATGTACTTTGAGAAGAGAAGAAGAGGCCACCAAGTTGTTTGCTTGACAAGACCCTCCTTGGTAGTCATGAGCGGAGAAATAACGTTGACGCTCTGCGCGATAGTAGCCATGCCCACGTCTTTTGCCTGGCGGATGAAGCCGTTGAGGAAGTTTGCTACGGCCAGAGCGTCAGAGAGAGTGTACTTTTCTTCTGCGCCCTGTTCGCCGGGAGCGCGCATAGGATCCCAGACGTTCCATTCGTCGAAGCAGATGGTTTGGCGGGGCACGGTTTCCGGCACCTTGTTTTCAATGCGGGCGAGGTCGATGAGGCTGGAGGCCATTTGAATTGCTCGCTCGGCTGCGCGAGGCGCTGTGGCGTTGGGGAGATGCTCCTTGTCTGCAGTGTAGATGTGGATCGAGTGCATGTCAATCAGGCTCTTGGTCGTGTCGCCGCTGAGGCCGTGAACATCCAACTTGACGCATTGGTTTAGCACGTAGTAGTCCCAGGAGGAATAGCCAGTCTCTCCACACAAGATGGTGGTGATGGTTGGGTCGAGGAGCTTCAATGCCTTGGCCCATTGGTAGGCCTTCTTAGCGTAGTCTTCTTTGGTCATCTGCTCCACTTGCCATGGCCCATAGCACTCGTTTCCGAGAGCCCAGTACTTGACCTATCACTAAAGTTAGCAGACTGCTAGTGCAAGCCACAACCCGCACGGTCTGCAGCTAACGTACATTGTAAGGCTTTTCGCGGCCATTCTTGCGTCGAAGGTTGGCGTAGTACGTATCTCGGTCCGAGTTACAGTATTCAAGCCATCCAAGAGCTATTAAATTTAGTCATGTCGGACAAAGATCCACCTCATTGCATACCTTCGTCCAAAGTACCAGTGCCAAAGTTCAGGCAAAGGTAAGGCTCAGTGCCGACCTCTTCGCACCATTGCATGAACTCGTCAGTTCCGAAGGTGTTGGGCTCGATGCCGATCCATGCGAGCTCAGGCCTGGCGCTGCATTAGTCCCAATATTTTCTCTAGGGTTTACTCTTCCGAAGTGCTTGGTGGGAGATCTCTGCAGGGTGATGGACCCTGTAAGCGGACCTGAAATAACCTACTGTTCTTTTGTTGACACATGGAAGATTTTGTTGAATATAGAATTGCCAACCGAGGCTCAGGCAAGACACTAGTGAATACGATGAAGGGCTTACCTCTTGGGCCTATTCTCTTTTGGCCCAACGCCATCAAGCCAATGATACGTTGCAACAAAGTTTCCGCCTGGGTAACGTACCACAGGCACTTTGAGCTCTTTGAAAGCCTCAATGACGTCTTTACGGAAACCTCGCTCGTCTGATAGAGGGTTGCCGGGATCGTAAATGCCGCCGTATATGCATCGACCCATGTGCCTGGTGCGTGGCTTGTTAGCCGAGGGAAAAACAAAGAAATGCACATTTCGGAAAACCCGAGCTGGTAGGGCGCCATTGTCAAGCTTACTCGGTAAATCCTCCATAGAGGTTGTCATTGATCTTAGCGACCTTGTAGGAGGGGTTGACAGTGATGGAGGGGGTTTCGCTCTCTTCGATTCTGGTAAAGGACGCCATGATGGATAAAGTTGGCAGTTGTCCTGAAGGTGGTGGCAGGAGCAAAGAAGACGAGGTCCAGGTTTTCGATTGCAATTTGATAATGTTACGACCTGCTCAAGGTCATAGAAGGCTTCGTCGAGTAGCATGTGGTTTCCAACTTGGCACGGGCCCTAGTACCAAGTCAGCTGGTGTGTCCGGCACAAACTGACATGCTCATTCGTGGAATTTAGCCTGCACGCATCATCGCATCACACGTCTGGCACACACTGCACTTGAGCCGTTTGAAGTAAACCACCCGTGCTTAGGTTCGGGCAGCCAAGACACATCCCACCAGTGGTGTGATGGTGTATCTCCCAATTCAGGCCTCCAGGTGCAGATTCTAACCCATTTGGACTGGCGCTGAATGTATACATCGGTTGGATTTGAGCCGAGCCTCTGCCATACCACCGACAACCGCTGTGACAGGGATCAGCACGCGGGTTGCGGAGGTAATAAACGCGGAGTCGAGTCAATACCCCCGCCATTTGTGGAGATGGTGGAGTATAGTCGCTTGCATGCGTTCCCCAGACTTGGACAGCTATGGGGTGATACAAGCCTGGCAGAGACGCGGCAAAGTGCCCAGTATAAAGAGGAAGGTAGGCTGCTCATCGTTGACTTGTCTTACTCACCGCTCTCTACCTTTCTGCAGCCCTCTCAACCCCAGCTGCAGTCGCCATGGCGCTCCCTCCCAAAGTGTACCAGTTCCTCGTGGGTCTGTTTGCATCGCTTGGTTCGTTGCTGTACGGTTACGATCTTGGTGTCATTGCCCAGGTCATTTCTTCGCCAGCCTTCAATGCAGAATTCAATCCCACAGAAGATGAAACTGGAGCAGTTGTGTCAGTCTTCACCGGTGGTGCTTTTTTTGGTGCCTTTTTCGCCGGTCCCGCTGGTGACAAGCTCGGTCGTCGACTCACCATCCTGATCGGTGCATTGGTAAGAATTGTCGAAAGTTCCTAGAGCACATGGAATTTGCTAACCAAAGCGCCATAATTAGGTCTTTATCCTCGGTGGTGCACTACAAACTGGCGCACAAGCGCTATCTTATCTCTATGCCGGACGCGCCCTTGCTGGTGTTGGCGTTGGTTTCCTCGTCATGATTGTTCCTATGTACCAATCAGAGTTGGTCCACCCCAGTATTCGTGGACGAGTCACAGCTCTCGTGCAGTTCATGTTGGGCATCGGTGCCCTTGCGGCAGCCTGGATCAGTTATGGATGTGATGTTGGCTTTGCAGACGATGATGACGGCCAGTGGCGTACATCGCTTGGTATCCAAATTGTGCCAGCCGTCTTTCTAGCCGCACTCATTATGGTCTTTCCCGAGTCGCCCAGGTGGCTTATCAGCCAAGGCAAGAGCGAGCAGGGTCTCCACAACCTGGCGAAGCTCCATGCAAACGGCAATGAGTCAGATGCGTGGGTCATGGCAGAGTACCAGCAGATACAAGAAGCCATTAGCTTTGAACGCGAGAATTCAGCCAAGTCCTATGGCGAGCTCTTTAGGGACAGGTCCTGCTTCCGCCGTCTCTTCCTCGCCTGCGCTATCCAGGCATCCGTTCAAATGACTGGTGTTTCGGCTATCCAGTACTACTCCGTCAAGATCTACGCTCAAATTGGTATCAACGGCTCCGACGCCCTCAAGTACCAGGCCATCTCCTCGGTTCTCGCTCTTTGCGGACAAGCACTCTGCATTGCTTTCATCGATCGATTGGGACGCCGCTGGACTCTTATCGGCGGCAATCTTGGCAACTGCGTTACCTTCATCATCGCGACCGTCATGTTGGCTGTTTTCCCACCCGGTAGCAGCGGAAACGCCGCCGCCGCATGGGGCTTCATTGTTGTCACTTGGGCGTACAACTTCTGCTTCAGTTCAACATGCGGACCTCTCTCCTGGATTATTCCCGCCGAGATTTTCGATACCAAGACCCGTTCCAAGGGTGTTTCCATCGCCACTATGACTTCTTTTGCATTCAACACCATGATTGGACAGACTACTGGAGTTGGAATGGCAGACGTTGGCTGGAGGTTTTATCTGCTCTTCGTCGTAAGTGTTTCTTTACAATTAATTATCGATTGCGAACTGACCAAATACTAGGTTTGCAACCTCACCAACGCCATTTTCTTCTACTGCTTCCTTCCCGAGACTGCTAAGCGCCCGCTTGAAGAAATGAAGTACCTCTTCACAAACGCCCCGCTTTTCGTACCTGGAATGAACAAGCACGACTTTGTGCCAGACATTGATCGTCGCGTCGAGGAGGTTGCTGCGAAGCAGGGATCTATTTCCCACGCAGAGAATGTAATTGAGTCGAAGCACTAGATTTAGCTATGTGCCTGGGTTGGGCTATTGTATCTTGTTGTTGCTTCTGGTATATCGACAATATAAGAAGATGAAGCTAGACGCATAATGAACCTATTAACGCAATTGTCTTTAGCAAAAATGCTCTCCACGTGTATGTTCGTGGTACCATTTTCACGTTTGCGTGATATACCTGGATATCGCTTTCCAGAGAACCAGATTCAAAATTACCCGCTTACACTCCAAAAACAAGGTTACGCTAGTTGATAGTTGGCACAGTATCACCGAATGGATGGGCAGTGCAAGCCACCGGGATAAATGCGATTTGGCCAAACAAGGAAGTCGGTCCGACGCGTCTACAGGATATGCATCGGAGAGATGCTTACTTCATCCCAGGGTGGTCACATGGGCAATGCATTATAGCTCAGGGGTCAGAATAGCCCGAGGTGGGGTGTCGAAGACGGCGGAGCTATTGCTGTAGGATGCGTTGGTGAAGTCGTTCTGGCATGCGTGAATTGTGCAAGTGTTTGTTTTGCTTTGGAGCTGCGGTTGAATAGACATGGACAAATTTGGTTGGATGACATCAATGCTTGGCGACCCTCACGCGTCCTCTATACTAATGCTTACCCTCAGCAGAATAGCAAATGACCCAGCGTAAATATACGAAGCGCGCGGGACGATACCTAGTAGGTCTGCTG